CCCTCCTCCCCAATCCCCCCTCCCCGCCAGGGTGTCTCCATCAGCAAGCTGGCTGCTGTGGAGGCACCCGTGAGTGCACATTCTTTGCCGACACTCACAGCGTACGGCCAGCCACACCCCCACCCTTGCAGTCACATTCAATTCCTTCCAGCATTAACACCAGAGCATACCAATAAGGATTTGTTCGTCCATATTGCTTAACTGCAGCAGAAAGGTAAAGTCAGGATGGCTGTGCTGTCTGGCTGGGTAGACCTGAGAATGGCAATGACAGAAATACAAATCCTTTGGCAGAGAAAAAACAGCTCCCTTGGTGTCATGTAACTTACTTGAGACCGAGTTGCGCCTTTCGTCCAACACCCCTTGTGTAGTAAGAGGATTCTGCATGGAGTTCAGGTGTGAGGATCAACAAATGGAGTTGGGTGACAGCCAGGCAGCAGAAAACCAAAACAAGAATCAGAAGCAAAGTTGAGGTCACAAGCCGAGGTGGAACCAGTTGGGTGAGTGAGGTAGTACAAGGCAAAAGACACAGGCAGAATCCAGAACACAGGCCAAGGTCACAACAAGCAGGTGCGGATCCAAGGGGAAAGGTTGGGGACACAAGCCGGGTCATACACAAGAAACAAGAAGGCAGGTCAGGTCACTGGTAGCAAGAAACTAGCTGAAGACCATTCAGCAATTTTTGCACATTCCATGCCCATTTATAATAGACCTGCCCATTAATGCGCTTCCACGCAAGTCTGTGTACGCACCTGCACGCGTCTTTCTGTGTGCAATTCTGGGCGAGCAAGTTTTTTGTGTGCCTGCACACGAATGCATGTTGGCCTACTGTTCTATTGACAGGGCCATGGGCCACAGTCAGAGTGCATGCACGTTTCCTGTAACACACAAGGCATTTCTTACACTTAGATTTCAATTGTGCTTTTTAATTGTTTGCCCAGAGTTCAGCTTCATATAAACTACCTTTATGTCAAGGCATGCATATTTACAAACCATGACTGATGTGGTTTTTCTTTCTGCAGTGGGCACATTTATACCCACTTTAGCTGACTGTATATATAAAAGCTAAGGGGTCTATTCACAAAGCTGCCGAGGGCAGCCGAGTGAATGACCGATCAGAAGTGAAGTGAGCCGAACACTGTTCGGCTATTCACTTCAGGCTGGTACGGCTGATTTCAGACGTATATCGGCTGAAATCAGCCGTACATCGGCTTGCTTCGTGTGGCTTCGAAACAGCCGAACATGCTCAGCATGTTCGGCTGATCCGAAGTGCAGAAGGAGTACGACTCAGCCGATCCAACATCTGGATCGGCTGAGCCGAACCTCCGGCAGGCTTCACACTGCAGTTCGGGCTATTCTGAAAGATCCCGAACAGCAGTGAGAGAATAGCCGAATGCCGCCGAGCGGCATTTGGCTCGGCTGTTCTGCTCGGTTCCTCAGAGGCACCGAGCAGAACAGAAAAAGAGTGAAAAAAGTAGAAAAAAGTAAATAGAAAACGATTGTGCAGAGCTAGCAGTGACAGCTAGCTCCGCCCAATAGTTTCCTATTGTCCGGCGGCTCTGCTGTTGTAAAAAAAAAAAGTAAAAAAAAAGTAAAAACTCTCCCTGGGGCCCCGGGAGCCCCCCGCTCCTGGCCGCCAAGGAGAGAAACACAGCTGTGTCTTTTTTTCTTCATTCTGGCACGAGCGATGTCAGAATAGAGGAAAAAAAAAATTCCCATTCAAAAGCATTGAGAGTTTACTATTGGCTATTTCAATTTGCAATAGCCAATAGTAAACTAGCATTGTTCCCGCCCTCTGCTGGTGGACCTGGTGGGGAACTGCAAAAGAGGGCGGGTACAATGCTAGTTTACTATTGGCTATTGTAATAGAAATAGCCAATAGTAATGTCCCAATGCTTTTGAATGGGACTTTTTTTTTTTTCTCTATTCTGACATCGCTCCGTGTCAGAATAAAGAAAAAAGACACAGCAGGGTTTTTCTCCTTGGCGGCCGGGAGCAGGAGACTCCCGGGGCGCCAGGGAGAGTCAGATGCTTGGAGATCAGTGTCCCTGGTTAGCAACCAGGGACGCTGATCTCTCTGAAAGTGGCCGGAGCCAGCCGTAAGATCACGGCTGGCTCCGCCCAGCTGTCAGAAGCAGGCTGTCGGCCGGCCAATGGCCGGCCGCTCGGTCAGCTTCGTCTTTCAGCACGGCTCAGCGCTCGACTGAGCCGCTCGGCCGTGATCGGGAGCTGTACGGGCTATTGTGAATAGCCGTACAGCACCCCCTCGGTTCTCCTGAACCGAAGGGGTCCTGGTGCCGAAGCTAGCCGAAGGATCGGCCTAAGCTACGGCCAGATCCTTCGGCAGCTTTGTGAATAGACCCCTAAGTAATCAGTACTTAGTAATGGCCCTTTGTGCAGACATTGGAGCCAGGAATGGGCCTAGAACTGGGTAATATTTACCTGTGAATGGAAACTGCATACCACAGAGTGAGCTCTGTTATGAAAACACAAAGAAATTGCATTTAAGCCACTAAGAAACAAATTGGTAAGTATGAGAATTAGTTTCTTTTGCACCATTGTTTGCTCTGAAATAAACTCTGTCTAGTTCATAGCCGTTCATGCTATTGTGCTCGTTGGTGAAACAATAGAAGAAGTAATAAACGACATGCTGGGAAAACAAAAATAACTCAGTGAAGAATGGAACAGAGTGAAGAATGGAAAGTGAAAGCTTTTTTGAATACAGATAATTCTCTAATAGAAACTATTGTTTCTTTCAGTTACCACATTTTTATAATTATTGATGGAAGACTTCCCTGATACGTTGGACACAGACAGGCTACATACAAAGGTTACAGGCTAATTATAGGACAGTTAAGAGTTATAGCTCAACTCCAGAGCTGATGCACAAACTATTTTTCAGCAGGACAGGCTCAGGAAGCTGGCAGCAGAGCAGCATGGGGTTCCTTGTCCTGAACATCTCTGGAGAGTGATGTGTGAGTGTGTCAATCGTACCGCAAACAGTATGCGTCCAGGTGCGGTCATTGGCAGCTACTCGACTCCCGCCCGCAGCAGATCGCATGAGTCTCAAGGTGCCCATGCACCTGCCGATTATTGTACGATAATCGCGGGTGATCCCGAATTGGACGATAATCGGCAGGCATATGGGCAGCGTGCAACCTCTTCTACTGTAAGGTCGCACGACATTCGTCTTCCAAGCACGCTTGAAAACCTGGCGAAAATCGTACAATTTTCGTCGGGTTAGTGGCGTGCTCGGGAGGCCCATGCCGCACAGACCGGTGTGCGCAAGCGCACACTGCCCGCTCAGCACTGCAATCATCGCAAGCCCTCCCCTCAGCGGGGCGGGCTTGCGATGATTGCAAGTACAGTCTGCCTGTCCAAGATGGGCAGATCGTACTAAATTTTAATGACCTTACAACCATCGCACTACGAAAGTAATGCGATGGTTGTAAGGTGTATGGCCAGCTTTACAAAGGAATTCATAAGAATCATGTGACCAGCCCCATTCGGAAGTGTGAATGAGGCCTAAAGGGCCACAAGTGTGGGAATAATATAACATTTTGTACAATTGCCAAAACCTTAATTTAGGTGGCATCACTTTTAGCTAATTTGATATCAGAAATGATACATTGACAATGCTATCTTTAGGTCATTTGTGGTTAACTGACCAGCTAGTTACACTTTCCATTCTTCAGTTGTGTCTTAGTTGTGTTTCTTCTTTCTAGCC